TCTTTAATTTATGAAGGTGTTTTACCATCCATCCATGGCAGAAGTTTTACATAATTAATTGTTTTGAATTTTCACCTTTTTATTTATTTATTTATGTAAACACAAATTTCCTGAAATTAATATGAACTCCATTTGGGAATAGGAAAGAAAAAATATTTTTTTATTCTCATTTTTCCGCGTGGTTTTTACTTTATCGCGGGTTTTACGGATGCAAGTTTCACCGAGCTTGACCACCAAGTCACAGCACCGACCTTCATTTTGGCTTTTTGAACATCAAAAAGAAGAGCGTTAGCGCCACAACGCATACATTCCCCTGCTTCTTTCGTCTCTCTCTCTCTCTCTCTCTCTCTCTCTCTCTCTCTCTCTCTTTGTTTCTCTGCAAACCCTAAACCCTGATCACTGCACTGCGCTCCTTAGTTTCCAAAACTCGTCTCTCTCTTTTTCTCTCTGTTCTCTGCAACGAGCGAGGCGAGTGTTGGGTTGAGTGGTTTAAGAAGAAACGAGTTCTCACTCTGTTTTTCTGCCACGATTGAGTGGTTTTCTGGGTTCAAGAAGGAGCGAGTTCTCTCTCTCTGCGTCTTTGCAACGATTTGTGATTTTTGGGTTTAAAAAGTAGCGAGCGGGTTCTTTCTCTCTCTCTCTCTCACTGTCCAACAATTGTGCGAATTTTGGGTTTTGGAGTCGAGAATCGAGAATGGCGTCGTCTACTCGAAATCGAAAGCGTAAACAATTGGGGGATGGCGTTGTTCCGTTTGAGTTTCGGTTTCAGACCCAGAAGAGCGAGAGGTCTTCTAGGGTTTTGGAGAGCCAACGGATAGTAGCCGTGGATGAAAAGGCAACTGCTTCTCTTCCTCTGCGCAAGGGTTTCTCACCCAAACAGGGCAAGACCATCCCTTTGGCTTCGACTGCTAGAAAGCGTAGACAATCGGAGGAGCTAGGGTTTGATGGTCTCTGTCAGACCCAGAAGAGCAAGAGGCAAAAACTAGGTTTTGATTTTGATTGTTCTGAAATTTTGGGTTATCTGATGAACCTCCGCCATGTGAGTAGGTACTTTGAGAAGCCTGCCGAGAATTTGCCGGGTTATTTCCAAGAAATCTGGAGGCCCATGGATTTCGGTACTGTGAAATCCAAATTGGAGAGGGGTGTCTACTCCAGCGCTGATGGATTTGCGGCTGATGTAAGGCTTACCTTGTCAAATGCTTTAAGATATTATTCGGATGGGAGGATTGAGCGTGCAGCAGCCAAGCATCTCAGTGGTGTTTTTGAGAGCAAATGGAAAGAAGCCGTGGAGAAAAACCCCAAGTCTTTTTGTCCTCCTCCTCTGCCCAAAGTCAAGGGTTTGGCAGTGTCACCCAAACTGAAACAGGGCAAGACCTCTTCTCCTTCTAGCTTAGGGCTTGAGGTTTCTAATTCTCAGTCAGTTGATTCAACCAAACACGATGACTTGCCCACCCTTGTTGATCATGCCATGGATCAGGCCTCAGAGAATCTTTCTCCATGTAAGGCTACCCGAATTCATGCACTAAAGCTACGTTTTTCAAGTACAATATTGAAAGCAAATAAGATACTTAAGGGTGTACCTGATTCTCCACCAAGGAGAAAATCGATGCAGCGGATGAAGCAAAGGGAGTCGGCTCGCCGTGCCATTTCAAACATGGAGAAGTCAGTGCAATTTGGGGACCCTTTACAGGATCTCAAACAACTTGAGATGCTGTGTGGCTGTGGCAGTGAAGATCCGTTTCTACAGGTCAGCCTCGGATTGCCTCTTAAGAAATTGGGTGTATACCTTAAGCAAGATGATGAGTTGCAAGGTCAAGATGAAGAGGCCTTTTTGAATGGAGATTGGGAGGAAGGAGAGATCTGGTGGGAGGAAGGCGAGATTTGTTCATGAAGTATAGAAACTGAGCAATAGGTTATAGGCCACCTTGGCTCTGTTATTTGTTGTATATGATATGATGTATAGGTTAAAGTTTCCACTTTGTAATTAATTGATTACCAATTCTTTAATTTCTAAGAATAAAGAAATTGAGGATGTGATTCTGAATTACCAAATTTTTTCCAAGTGAATGATATTATTGAAGTTTCTATTTCTGTTTGTTCTCCAATTTGAATTTGTTTCTGGCTCTATATTTGCTATCTGTTTGAGGAAGTTGGTTCCTGTGTAGACTATTACTTTCCATGTAAGTTTTGGCCATATGCATTATACATTATACAGACAAGGCATAATGCAGACCCTTCTGGGAAAGTTCTTGTTTCATGGATTCAAAGACCTTTGACTCCAATGGATGGCCCCTGAATTGATTTAGGATAGCTTGTAGTAATGGTTGTTTGACATCAATCACTGTAAATGATGCTGGCCTGGTTGGTGAGTTCAGCTCTTCAGCCATTACTAGCCTTAAAATGCTTCCCAATTTGTCGATTTCAAACAACCAACGGACGGGACCATCTCAAAGTTGAGGAATAAAGATATTTGAATGAAGAAGAATCAAATAAGTTTGAGGGCAACAACAAAGAAGGTAAAGGTGATCGATTCACCAGATTCCATTAGACCCATAAAATGATGGGAAACCTGCTACAACAGTACTTTTCTATGTTTGTTCTTTTTGTTTTTTGTTGGTACAGTACAACATTTCCCAGACTACATAGAATCACAACGTTGGCCTTTCAATAATCCAATGTTACTTATACTTATTTGACAGACCATGAAACAATAAGTGAATACAAAGGTATTACACTGCAATGAAATTGGGACTATATTTCTGTTATCTGTATTCTTGAAAGTGGACATGCCCTGTCGCTCGTGCATGCTCCACAGCCTCCTGAATATTCATCGAAATTTATTCAGTATACTAAGACTAAAGGAAATCTCATGCTCGCAACCACACACATTTAGAACATCAAAACAGGCAAGTTAAGAAATAACCTTCTGGCTGACTAGTCCAAGTTGGCACACCCCACGGCGCAAAGTGAAGTTGGCAGTGTCAGTGTGTCTCCTTTTACTGAGAAGCAGCATCATGGTATTAAGGCATACTTTTGGTATACCTGAGCTATATGAGTAGTAGGAGCACAAAATGGAAGCGACGAAACACACATTACCTCAAGCATTTTGATAACTTAGTCGGCAAAACATGGGAAAAAAGTTCATACAAAATTAATCTTTTTATCCCTATTTTTCTGTTGGATTGGCATGGATTGAAAACTTTACATAGAGGCTAAGTACATCTGACATGTCCTATAGTTCTCAATCATCTTAAGTTGAGAGCAAATTTATTGATTATTATTTTGAAATGTTCATAAACCAGATTTTACATGCACAGAGTAATAAGTGTGCACTATTAGTACTATTTAGGTTCAACAACTAGGATGCCCTCAGTACATAGAGATTTGGAAATTTTTTTCAAGACAGAGTACTAGAAGTTAAAAAATATTGTCTCTTCAACTTGAATAGGTTTGTAAACTAGGTCGGTCGATGTATAGTGAATAGAATACTTCTGCACACTGAACTACATGTTTAGAGTGGAAGTATCAGAAATAATCCCCTAAATCACAGGCTCTGTATTTTTTATCATCTGAACATGCTAATTCCAGACTAAAAGCCCAAGGAACATTTAATGTTTTCACATATTATGTGTAGTAGTGTTTGTACGTGCACTATGGATAGAAGCCACCATGAAACCATAAGCACTACCTTTGTTGCTCTTTCACAAGATTAAGAGCGAGCCCCTCAACCGGCCCAATGGAATTGTCCTTAACTGCAAATATAGTCTGATCAAACTCCTCTGGAGCTCCCTCAAAGGGTGACATCTGATACAATACAATGCAGAAACCAATGACCATTAACTGGAAAAATTTAACCTCAATCACAAACAGAGGAGAGCAAATGTCTACAAATAAAATAGCTTAAAAATCAGTAACTATCTTTCTTTAACATACATTGAAAATTAATTCACATCAATTATAAATCAGGAAAAAGTACAACTTGAAAAGAGCAAGAGCCAAGACCTACGAGGCAAAGTCTCTCAGCACATAGGTAAAGAGAGCGTGGGAAAAAGGGAAGATTCAATAGACATTGAGCATTCTGTGTTGTGGTGAAAGAGATTAACATTAGATTTGTTAGGGAGATACAGAGGTGTGGCTCTCAGGCGATTTGAGTCCTATGTGCTTACATGTTTGGTGTTAAAAACTCAAAAAACATAGGGAAACTTGGTTGGATGTTGAAAATTTGGATTTATTTAAGGGCATTTTGCTAAAATAAGGAAACCACATATTTCCAAAAAATTGGCCCTATTTGAGGCCATAGTGAAGCCACTTCTTAATTATCCGTCCACATTGAGAACCAGTAAAACTCATAAACAGAAAATTAACATAAATCATCAGAACCACATACAGCTAAAGCATTGTAATGAAGCCCATCATAGATCAGCAGAGCCCTTTCGAAACACTTCTTCTCCTGTCAAAAGTACCCCATATGAAAATGAGCATAAACATTCAGAAATGGAAAGCTGACAAGATTAATATACATGAGAACTCACTACTAATGCTATTTCTTGAACAGTCAATCTTATAGACAAGTGGCTACACAAACTATTTCCTGAACAGTCAAGGCGCAAAAACTTTGTCAAATATATCAACAATGTGCAATACTGTAGAAGAAGACATAAGCCAGTATTGTATAATTAAGTTTCGGATACTTAGTTGGGTATCAGAAATAACCAAAACTTTCACAAGAAAAGCTTTTCATTGCATTTTGTTTCATAACCAATATTCATATACGTAGGAAAAGGAAAGTTTATTTATTTTTAACAAACCTCCCCACTTCTTAGAGTCAAGAATCCAAGCACAATACTCTTCATTTGGTTTACTGAGAAATGCTTCAGAATACTTAGTTGGATCACTTGCTACTGTTGCTGCTATAACCTTCACATCATGGATGACCACAAAATGATCAGGAAGTATAGCACTTATGCATGCTTAATACAAATATGGAGCTATATATGCACAAAAACTGACCTTAAATAACAGGTGTACTTTTAATCCCTGAATGATACCTGTCTCAACTCAGGAGCTTTTTTCTTTTCATGGTCCATGGCATACCTACAAATGACGGGTGACTATTGAATAGAAAAATTGACGTTAAATGACGCAGCTCAGCTCATTGCAATAGACAATGGATAGAATAGAAGGTTGTATTGGAGCTTACCTAACCGCATTGAAGAGGCAACTATTGTCTGAGGGAATAACCCTTCTTACTACAATACCTTCCATATTATAAATATTTATATACCTGAAACATTTGAACAATTTGAATATTTCAAACGATGATGGTTTTATAATAGACAAGCACAAGCCAAAGAGCTGAGATAAGGAAACACAGAATATTTAATACAAAAATAAGGACCCAAAAAGCATTGAACTCCATAGAAGTGGTTTGTGTGAAGAAGGAACCTTTTGTGATTACAATGGAAAGGAGAACAAAGATTATTAAGATACAAAAAAAGATAGGAGTCCAATCAAAAGTAAACATCTACAGAGAAAGAAAAGACTTATACATAAAAACTTCCTTAAGACTGAATCCTAAAGTTACAGAAGTATGAAACAATACCAAAAGAAGGCTGAGGACTCATACAAAACCCAACATCACATACTCAGCAGCAGACAGCCAAGTACCAACCAGAACCAGATTCAAGTACTGGTAGCAGCAGGCCATGATTGAAAACATTCAAAGAAAAGGAACAAATATAATATAGTGTACAGAAATGAAATTTTACAAATTTTTATCAGGAATGAATCTGAAATGAACGAAAAAAAGGAACTTTAAAGTATCCATACTTTTATCAGTTCTTTAAGGTGCCAATAAATGAACCTAATATGTCAAAAGCCTACCCAGAAAGGAAACCAACCCTCAGACTTAGAAACCCAATACCAAAGCTATAAAACAAACCCAGAGCTGAATTTGAAACCACCCAAAAGCATAAATTGAAAAAAATGACAAATAAATAATGTGGCAATGAAATTTCCAGATCCATTAATAGTATTCGTACCAAGAGCAGCATATTCAAATAGACATGATACAATTTGGAAGAGAAGAGGAAAACAGATAAGAAAAAGAATTCACTCTGTTTCTTCCTTTTTGGTCAATAAGGTAATGGTAGTTGAGCAAATACTTTGACGAGGAGGTGGTGATAAGATAAAGCTCTCACACTCTCAAATTTCTCTCTCTCTATTTTCTCTTTGGATCGGTGGTGTTCTACAACTGAATGAGCAAGCCTATTTATAGGCAAATTGGATGGCTTCCCGTGGATGTACCGTGAATGAATTGGCAGACAATGCATCTCTAAAGACTTCATTGCCCAACATCATCATTTGCCTTCTTCTTTTCTTTATGTGGGCTCCACCACTTTTTTTTTACAACACTCCTCCTTGGAGACCACATGTCCTTAGATTGGTTGCCTCGTTAAAACCTTGCTTGGAAAAACCTAATGGAAAAAAACCTAAGCGAAGGAAAAAGAATACAATGTCATTTGGGACATAAGGATAATGTTAAATGTGCTCATGTTGCCTCGATAAAACCTTGCTAGGAAAAACCCGGTGGGAAAAACCCTAGTCGAAGGAAAAAGAGTACAATGTGCATATGTCATGTATTAGAGGACTCTTGAATGCTCCCCTTGATTTTGCATGCTCCAATTTGATTGCTTGCAGAGTTGACGTAATCCAATGTCATGCACTAGCTTTTGGAATGTGCATTTTGGCAAAGATTTGGTGAAGAGATCTACCAGGTTATCGCTTGAACAGATTTGTCTGACTTTAATTTCTTGACTCTTCTGAAGCTCATGTGTGTAGGAAAACTTTGGTGATATGTGCTTGGTCATGTCACCCTTGATGTATTTTCCTATGATATGAGCAATACAAGCTGCATTGTCCTCATTCAGGATGGTTGGAGTATCCGTTACTGAGGGTAGGGCACATGTGCTTCTGATGTGATGGATCACCGACCTTAACCAAACGCATTCACGACTGGCTTCATGGAAGGCAAGTATTTCTGAGTGATTGGAAGATGTGGCTGTCTTTAACAGAAAAGTTAACAGAAATTTATAAAATAAAATAAAAAGTATTAAAAAGTAAAAGGGAGTGTAAGTGGAGAGAAGAGAAGTGAGAAAATCAACTCCCAATATATATGTACAACTAATAAAACTCTTTTGACGCTTTAGCTCACACCCAGTACAAATATATATTTAATTAAGAGTGCTGCTATTTTCACCATCTTTTTCTATTTCCCTAGAAATTATTATATAATTTCTCCTATTTCCCCATCCACGTTATCTTCCCACCCACCATGTAAGTTTTGAAAAAACACAATCTTATATTTCCACCCACCATTATTCCAAAAATACCCCTTAATTATTAATTCAAGCAAATTCTCTTTTATTTGGTTTTTCTCATAATTAAAACATGGGAGTTATATTTTCTTTACGTTCTATTCTTTTGATTTATTTTTCTTGTGTGTTTTGTCACTGTAGAGTGAATTTTTTTTTCCTGTGTTTATTTAACTGTAGAATAATTTTTTTAGGGGTTGGGTTTGTTTAATTTGAGTTTGATTATAGGTTTAAATGATGCAAAATCAAAATAACTTGCTACAATAATAGGTACATGTGGGAACCGAGGTTTCTATGGTTGTTCTATATTGTCTTGGAAGTTGGAAGTCCATATTTGCGGGATTGAACATTTAAGTGGATGGGCTTTATAAATACCACTAGCACTGTGCTCAATCTGTATGCCAAGACAATATTTTGTCTTTCCAAGGTCTTTCATCTCAAATTCGCATTTGAGATAATCAACAGTCTTTTGGAGCTCTTCAGGAATTCCAATTAGATTTATGTCATTGACATATATTGCCACTATCACAAATCCGGACTTTGATTTCTTAATAAACACACATGGGCAAATAGGATCATTTGTGTATCATTCCTTTAGTAAATACCTACATAGGGATTGCCAAGAACTGTTAATCATATGGGAAAGAGAAGAAATACTTTTTGATTGGGAAAAGACATGGCTTGATCAATATGATATAAAAGAGATGCAGTTTAACGTCTCTTTGTTTAATTAAGGAAATTTTTTTTCTTTTTAAATTCTTATGAAATTGAGTTTTTATTTTAGGATTGAGGTTTTTTCCTTAAATTCTTAAAAGTCATTTTACATTGTCTATAAAATTTTGAAAATAAGATGGGTGGAGAAACAAGACAAGGGATAAAAATAACAGTTCATATAAATTAATTCAATATATTAGTTTAATTGTCGTGTTCTTGGCTTATCTTATTCTAGTTTTTTGAGATTTCACGTATCATATTTTATCATATCAACATATTCGTATTCGTATCTGTACAACATAAATTGAGTGTGAGTTAATTGATTTTTATTTATTTATTTTATAATTCAAGTATGATATGCCAATTTTGTAGCTATTGGATGTGATTTTAAATGAAATTTAAAAATGAGGTGGCAAGCAAAGAAGAAGAGAAATCAAGCAAACCATAAAAGAGGAAATCCAAGCAAAGAATCCGGATCCAATTTATCCCTGATTTTTTTTTGTGTGGTTCAAAATGTGGTTTTTGTTGTAAAAAATATTAAGTACCACTGAATATTGGGAGTGGAATTGTATTTGCTCTTGTTGTTTTTACACTAACAGAACTTTCTCCCTCTAATAAAACTCTTATAAGATAAAGCTCTCACACTCTCAAATTTCTCTCTCTCTATTTTCTCTTTGGATCGGTGGTGTTCTACAACTGAATGAGCAAGCCTATTTATAGGCAAATTGGATGGCTTCCCGTGGATGTACCGTGAATGAATTGGCAGACAATGCATCTCTAAAGACTTCATTGCCCAACATCATCATTTGCCTTCTTCTTTTCTTTATGTGGGCTCCACCACTTTTTTTTTACAACACTCCTCCTTGGAGACCACATGTCCTTAGATTGGTTGCCTCGTTAAAACCTTGCTTGGAAAAACCTAATGGAAAAAAACCTAAGCGAAGGAAAAAGAATACAATGTCATTTGGGACATAAGGATAATGTTAAATGTGCTCATGTTGCCTCGATAAAACCTTGCTAGGAAAAACCCGGTGGGAAAAACCCTAGTCGAAGGAAAAAGAGTACAATGTGCATATGTCATGTATTAGAGGACTCTTGAATGCTCCCCTTGATTTTGCATGCTCCAATTTGATTGCTTGCAGAGTTGACGTAATCCAATGTCATGCACTAGCTTTTGGAATGTGCATTTTGGCAAAGATTTGGTGAAGAGATCTACCAGGTTATCGCTTGAACAGATTTGTCTGACTTTAATTTCTTGACTCTTCTGAAGCTCATGTGTGTAGGAAAACTTTGGTGATATGTGCTTGGTCATGTCACCCTTGATGTATTTTCCTATGATATGAGCAATACAAGCTGCATTGTCCTCATTCAGGATGGTTGGAGTATCCGTTACTGAGGGTAGGGCACATGTGCTTCTGATGTGATGGATCACCGACCTTAACCAAACGCATTCACGACTGGCTTCATGGAAGGCAAGTATTTCTGAGTGATTGGAAGATGTGGCTGCCAACGTTTGTTTCGTTGAGCGCCATGAGATTGCAGTTCCTCCACATGTAAATACATACCCAGTTTGTGAGCGTCCTTGATGTGGATCAGAGAGGTATCCTGCATTAGCATATCCAACAATACTCAGGGCATTGGTCGATTCACTGAAATAGAATCATGTCTGTTGTCCCATGAAGATATCATAGAATATGTTTGATGCCGGTCCAATGTCGGCTTGTTAGAGCAGAGCTGTATCTTGCTAACAAATTTATTGAAAATGTTATGTCTGGTCTGGTACATTGTGCTAAGTAAAATAAAGCACATATCGCAATAAGGTATGGTACTTCTGGACCAAGAACCATTTCATCATCCCCTTTTGGAAGATATGGATCTTTCTTAGTGTCAAGCGACCGAACAACCATTGGAGTGCTAAGTGGATGGGCTTTATAAATACCACTAGCACTGTGCTCAATCTGTATGCCAAGACAATATTTTGTCTTTCCAAGGTCTTTCATCTCAAATTCGCATTTGAGATAATCAACAGTCTTTTGGAGCTCTTCAGGAGTTCCAATTAAATTCATATCGTCGACATATACTGCTACTATCGCAAATTCAGACTCTGATTTCTTAATAAACACACATGGGCAAATATGATCATTTATGTATCCTTCCTTTAGTAAATACTTGTTGAGACGATTGTACCACATTCGCTCAGATTGTTTTAGCCCATACAATAATCTTTTCAATTTAATTGAGAACATGCCCCATGGTTTATTCCTGGCTGCTTTAGGCAGCTTAAGTCCTTTTGGGACTTTCATGTATATGTCTGTATCCAATTCTCCATACAGATATGCAGTAATGATATCCATAAGTCTCATTTCGAATTTTTTTGAAACCGCCAAGCTTATCAAGTAACGGAATGTAATTGTGTCCTCGCGATCTCATTTTTCTCATTGCGCTTTCTTGTAAATAGCCACCCACTTCAACTTCAATTAATTCATTTGGCTGCTGCAAAATTCCACTCAAAAATAGGTATTGAATATGCTTCACCAAACTTTCCCACAATCAACAACACTTCATCATGCATATGTCATGCATGACAATGCATTGCAGCCAGCTTGTGGGCTCGTTTTGGGCTTGTGGCTCCAATCTGAAAAATCTGGAAAAATATGGATCTTGAAGCTCTTTGAATTATCTTTCCAAGAATATGCAGCCCAACTCAAGGAAAAATCGGGAAGGCCTTCAAATGTGATATTTGGCCCAGTAACGCAGATGCTGCCGAATTTGACCTTAAGTTGCCAAAACATGTATAACTTTCTCTAGAAGACTCGGAATCATGAACCGTAAAATTATACAGAAACTAGACTTCTGTATCTTTCCAATGATATATGGCTCATCATCTGGTTCTTCTTGAGCAAGTACAGTCCAATCCGTGAAGTTGACTGATCTGCAGACACCGTTTTGAGCTAACTTGTCTCCAAAATGCAATTAGTGAGTCCTTAAGTTTATTACACTGAAACAAACACAAAACTTATTAAAAGCACAAGTTTAACTCAAAAACATAACCAAATCATAAATTAGAAGGGTACAAAATGATATGTAAA